TCTGCTTTTTTGTACTGCCAGGCTGGCAAGGAGGCTGGGGGTACTTGGGAGGAGACACAGCCAGGAGAGGTGAGCCCAGCTGACCAGAGGGATATTCCAGACCATGTGACATCATGCTGAGGTTATAAAGCAACAGGAAGAAGGAGGAAGGAGGTGTTATTTGGAGTGGTGGGTATAGTCTTCCCAGCTAGCTGTTAGGTGGGATGGGGCCCTGCTCTCCTGGAGGTGGCTGAACACCTTTCTATCCATGGGAAATGGTGAAAGGATTCCTTGATGTGATGTGCTTGGGTGAACAGCTTTTGCTTTCCCTGTTAAACTATCTCTGTCTCTACCCATGAGTTTTCCAGCTTTTCCCCTTCCAGTTCTCTCCCTGATCCCGGTGGTCGGGGAGTGAGGGAGCGGCTGCGTGGGGCATGGCTGCTGGCCGGGCTTAAACCAGACTTTTAGGATAAAATGAAAGTGCTTGAAATGGCAGGAGTGTAAGTTTAAGTGGATATTTGGAAGATATTTCTTACTGTGGGGATGGTGAAGCCCCAGCACAGGTTGCTCACAGAAACTGAGAATGCCTCATCCCTGGAAGTGTCCATGGCCAGGCTGGCTGGGGCTTGGAGCAACGTGGGATAGTGGAAGGTGTACCTGTCCATGGGAGGGCATGGAAGCAGCTGGTCATTAAGGTTCTTTCCAACCCACAATATTCTGTCATTCAATGAGCATTCATTCACTCAAAGCTAAACTGGACACGTGTTCCTTCCATTTCCAAAAGTCCAGGAATAACAGAATGATGAGTTGGTTTTTACAACCAGAAGTATCCAGAAGAACCAGAAGAAGTGTGTTAGACCACAGCTGGTTTAAACAAACTGGTTGGGTCCTGTGGTTTCTTTAGTCTCTGTTAACCTGGGACTGATGTCTAAAAGAAAGCGAGCTTTATCCAGAATGAGGGAGAAGGCCAAGAAGTTGCAGATCTGGTGGAGGTGGGGCAAATTCCTCCTTCCTTATGAGGCCCAGCTGACAGAACAAAGCAGGGCCCATCATTAGAAGGAGCCATAAAGAATCAAAGACCCCCAAAGTGTCCCCCAACTCCACAGTGCTGCATGACCCAGTATAAAACGCTTACCAAGGGGAAAAGTGGGGCAATCCCACGTAATCGTGAACTCACAGAACCCATTGAACTGTTAAATGCAAAGGCCCCCACCGCCAAAGGATCAAGAGTGGGTCATTACAGTTGGGAGTCTTGTTCCTGGACCCATGGGGATATCTTGTATGAGCTGTTGGCACCCTGTCCCACTTTGTTCATGCCATTAACAGGAGAATAACTGCTGTCTGAGACTGGCACTGGTTTGGATGTTGGCACATCCTCTGATTGCATTTGCACACCCAATGTCCTGCAAGGATGCTCTGGGCACTGTGACTTTACTGGTGGTTCTAGAAATTTCAGTGGAAAGCAACTTGTGGTTTATAGAAGACGTGACCCAGCAATCCAGCACTGCATCAAATAACTTTTATTGTAAGCTCTTGCAAACTTCATGATGTGGCAGACATTGTTCTTTGACAGCCATTGAATACATTTCCCCAAATCAGTTTCCCATAAATCTGCAGAAAAGCTTCAGAAGCAGAGCAGAGAATGAAGGTGTCCAAGGAGTGCATCACAGGAATTCAGCTTTGGCTGCTCTACGCTTTCCATGTATCTGATGCCAAAGCCTGCCTGTGTAATACAACAGCTGCTGCTCTCGAGGTGCAATTTCAAAAGCAAGTAAACAAAGGCATGTGCTAGGATCACAGAATCACTGAATTGTTGTGTTTTGGAGGGACTTCTCAGGACCTTCTAGTCCAGACTCCAGGATCCAGCAGGGGCAGCTAGAGCAGGTTGTCCATAAGGTTCTCTGCAGCATCTTCACATGTGTGGCACAGCACTTGGGCAGTAGCATTTCTGAGCACCTCCTCATCTGAACCCCAGGTGTTCTTGGCTAATATTCCCGTGCCAAAGTGCTGTTGCCCATTAGCAAGGACATTTTGCCCAGGTACAGGAAGTGAGGGCCTCATTGCAGGGAGTGTAACAGAAACGCACCCAGATTTACAACAGATAAATAGTTCCTCAGAAATCAGAAGTTGAACTTTACAATGTAACCTTATTAGGGTTGCCAAACAGGAATTTTTGTTTCCTGGAGGGACCAAAGGAGCTTTGCCCAGCTTCTCTCACAAGCAGAGGCCAGAGGATGTCACTTTCTTGATTCTCCTGGTGCCTTCTCCTTTGGGACAGCACACGGCAACATGTTCAGTCCACAGAATGTGAACCCTTGGTGTTACTGGAAAAGGGCTAAGTCAGCTGCATGATCCAACACTTTGCAGTAAAGAGCCTTGAGGTTGCAGTGTCTCCTCACAGCTCCCAGCAAAAATAATTTTTCCCTGGTGGCTAAATTCCTGTGGTACATTGGAGCCCAGAGCTCTCCTCAAAGATGGACAGACACAGAGCAAACTGCAAAATTACCCGGCCATGTCAGTGCAGCTGCATCTTCCCAGGGAACACAGGTGCTTCCCACCCCACCGTGGGATTGGGATTCCACCACATCCTCAGGCAGTCCATTCCAATGTTGAATCACCCTTTATGTGAAGAAATTCCTCCTGATGTGCCACCAGAATCTCCCCTGCTGCAGGTTGAGGCCTTGCCCTCTCATTATTTCCCTGGGTGTCCAGCAGAAAATTCTGACCCCCCACCTGGCTACACCCCCTTTTCAGGGAGCTGGAGAGAGAAATAATCTCTCAGAGCCGCCTCTTCTGGGCTAAAGAACCCCAGCTGCCTCAGCTGCTCCTCACAGGCCTTCCCTCCAGGGCCTTCACCAGCTTCATGGCCTTTGTCTGCACTGCCTGCTGACATGGCCTCGGCCCGTGGATCCAGCCTGTCCAGATCCCTCTGCAGAGCCTTCCTGCCCTGCAGCAGGCTGAGTCGCCCACCAAACTTGGTATCATCCATGATCTTGCTGAGAGTTCCCAGGATCCCCTCATCCATATCACTAGTAAAGATCATAAACGGGACTAGGCCCGACACTGCTCCCTGGGGACAGCGCTTGTGGCCGGACACCAGCTGGATGTGGCACTCTTCACCAAGGCTCTCTGGGCCTGGACATCCAGACAGCTCCTGACCCAGCCAGGAGAGCACCTCTCCAAGCCGTGGGCTGACAGCTTTTCCTGGAGAATGCTGTGGGAGACTGCCAAAGGCTTTGTTGAAGTCCAGGTGGACACTTCCACAGCCTCCCCCCTCATCCACTGGGCCGCTCATCTGGTCATCAAAGGAGATGGGGTTCACTAGGCAGGACCTGCCTTTCCTAAAGCCCTGCTGGCTGGGACTGATGTCTTGGTTATCCTGGATGTGCCCTGCGAACACACTCAGGACAATCTGCTCCAAAACCCTTCTGGGAAGCGAGGTCAGCTGGACACACCTGTAATTCCCCAGATTCCCCTTCCAGCCCTTCTTATGGATGGGTGTCACAATGGCCAAAGTCCAGGCACCTGGGACCTCCCCAGTGACCCAGCACTGATTAGAACTGATGGAAAGCAACAGTCCTCATATAGGAAATAAGGCAGAATCCAAGCTGATCCTTTTCTCTCTTGGGCTTCCCAAGTATTTCACAAGCTTGCTGGGCATGGCAGGGCATTTCTGGTTACTGCCAGGGGTGAAGGTCCTGGGATGAGCCTGGGAAGTTGTTACAGGTGGCACTGATGGAGTTGCTATGTTGGTTTTGCACAGGCTGGATCTTGGGAGTTGGGGGGGGGGGGGGGGGGCACAGAGGTGGCTTCTGTGAGAAGCTGCTAGAAGCTTCCACCATGTCTGGAAAAGCCAGTCCCTGACGGCTCTGAAGATGGACATGCTGCTGGCCGCAGCTGGGCCAATTAAAGATGTTGGTAACACCTCTGCAATAACATATTAAAGAAGAAAATCAAAGGAAAGCGGGGCTTGCAGTTTGATTTCCAGCCAGAAAAGAGGAGGAGATGAGAACATGCGGGGGAAACAACGTGGAGACACCAGGGTCAGGGGAGAAGGATGGGGAGGAGATGCTCCATGTGCTGGAGTCCAGATTCCTCTGTAAGCCAAGGTGAAGCAGCTGTGCCCCTGCAGCCCATGGGGATCCACAGGGGATGCAGTGATCCACCCGCAGGCCATGGGGGATGTGCCAAGTCTGGGGCAGGTGCATGCCTGGAGGATGCTGTGATGCACTGGGAGACATGGTGAAGGGAGGGGTCACCTGATCCCACGCTGGAGCAGCCAGTCCTTGGAGAACTGCACCCTGTGGAAGGAGGACCCATGCCAGGGCAGTTTTGGGAGGACTGTGTGCCTGTGGGCAGGACTCATGTAGTAGCAGTCTTAGTTGAACATGTGATTGTGAGAGTAGAGCCATAGTGGAAAAGTTCAAGGAGAACTGTCTCCTGTGGGAGGGACCCCACGGTGCAGGAGAGGGACTACTCTCCCTGAGCACAGGAAGAAAATCTTGGGTGATGAACTGACCAAAGCCCCCACACTCTGTCTCTCTGTGCTGTTGCTGGGAAGAAGGGAAGGACTGGGGGAAGAAAAGGTGTCTTTAAGGGCTATTTTCATTCTCATTATCCTCCTCTGATTGTGTTAGCAATAAACTCACGTTCTGTGTCTATGTTGAACAAGTTTTGCCCTTGCAGTGTTTTTTCCCAGTCCTTATCTCAACTCATAATTCCTTTATTAATTTTTTTTCTCTGACCAGCTGTAACAGGGGAGGTTGAGTGGGCAGCATTTGTGGGTGCCTGGTGTTTGGCCAGTGTCAAACCACGACAGTTGGTCAATCAGCCAGTGGCTCCAGAGCCTGGGAATTGAGAGCAGTGGACATGGTGGGAGTAATGGTGAGGATGAGTGTGGTCTCAAGCCCCGCAAAAATATGTTCCAGGATCACAGAATCACTGAATTGTGGAGTTTTCGAGGGACTTTTCAGGACCTTCTAGTCCAGACTCCAGGATCCAGCAGGGGCAGCTAGAAATGGTTTCACACTGATGGAGGGCTGCTTATGTATGATATTGTAAGGAATTAAATTACCCTGAGGAGGGTGCAGTACAAGTAGAAGTTACCCAGAGATATTCTGACTGCCCCATCCCTGGAAGGGTTCAAGGCTGGGCTGGGGAGTGCTTGGAATAACCTGGTGTACTGGACGGCATCCGTGCCCATGGTGAGTAGGTCAGAATGAGATGATCATTAAGGCTTTAAGATCCCATGAAAACCAACCTATTCTGTGATTCTGTGACATGTAGGAAAAGGCACTGAGCCTTTTTCATTGAGGATGTGAAGCTTATTGCCGGGGACAGGCATTGTTGAACAGAGTAACCTTTCCCCCGTAGAGCTTGGTCAACCTCTTCTCCAGCTCCCCTAGACTGAGCTCTTCCACTTCGTTCTTGTCATTCTCAGCGATGGCCCCCCAAGCATCTTTGCGTTTTTTGTCCCCCTCGCAGCAGGCAGCCGACCAGATGTGGCTGGGTCTGTTGACCCTCCCTTCAGCGATGTAGGTGTTCCCAGGCACAGCACCCGTAATTACGTAGGTCGTTGTACAGCCCTTGGTCTTTGTGGGCATCTTTTTAGACTCGTAGATGTTCCACTGGCCCTTGTTGAGGCTGCTATCCTGGGGGACTATGTTGGTGAGGGTGAAGGTAGCTGTCTTGCTTTCTCTACTGTACTGATGGCCATTGGGGCTCAAATGGCCACGGTCCAAACCAGTCACATTGTAGTCATTAAGGACAGCCTGGCTCTGTTTGATTTGGTCTAAGGTGAACTTGTGTTGCTCTACGAGGACCGACTCTCTTTCCATCTCTTTAAGATTATTTTTACCTATCAGCTTGATAGGGAAAGAGAAGGAGGTGTTAGAATTGGGAATGGGAGTAATATAGAAGATTTCCCTGGAGCAGAAGTCTCTGATGGTCAAGATCCCATTTGGTGTCATCTCAGTGCAGGAAAATGTATGAATCTGAGACAAATCATACACATGGCCTTCCTGCATGAATGCAAGACAGTTAAAGAGAAAGCAGTTCAGAATGTGACTGCTCTCCTTTTGCGTTGTGACCTTTGTGATCCAGCCTGCAGCCTGTGCTGGGAGCATGGATGGATGCACAAGACAAGGAGCATTTCCCACTCTAGGACTGAAAGGTGACTTTGGTGGGACACCTCCCCTGTCAAATCTGCTTCCCTTTCCTCCTGCCTCCACAGCCCAAATCTGCCAAGGGCTCTCCCTGGATCCACTCATGCCATGACTGTTTCTGTGATTTTATGTGTGGTTGCTACAGATGTACCCCAATCCTGGAACACCCAAGGTTGCTTCCTGTAACCCCATACAGAGGGAGATGTGTCAGGAAATCAGTCCTGGAGCTGAGGTTTCCCTGGGAGGGGTACAGTTTGTTTAAAAATGACCAGTTTTCCTCAGTAAGCAAAAAGATCTCAGTGTGAATGGAAACTGTTACAGCAGTGCTGGGAATGTGTGCTAGAGCTGTCTGGGCAAGGGGGAATTTTCTGCAGCATCTCTGAAAAAAGTTAGAAATGACCAGCATCTGAGAGGAGCCTGTAATCCCAAAAGAGTCCTGGGGAAATTAATATTCCAAAAATGCCTCAGGAGAAAGTTATTAAAAATGAAAGGTTGTTTGGGTCCAAGGTCCAGAAGGAAAATGCCAGGTTGGATAGGGCTTGGAGCAGGCTGGTCTAATGGAAAGCGGCCTGACCCATGCAGGGGAGTTGAACTGAGAGGGTCTTTAAGCTTCCTTCCAACACCAACCATTTTATGATTCTCCAAAAATAGAGAATGTGGAGGCTGTAGTAGTGCAAGACTAGAGTAGTTGTTCAAGCGAAATAAGATGAAGTTACTATTTTTTTAATAACTTCAACATAATTTTGTTCATCTTTAGAGAAACATATTTAGCTTCTCTCTGGAATAGGGATTGTGGCTTCCTCCTCTGGCTCATCTTCCCCCAAATGCTGTCCTGCTACTCTGTCCTTACCAATGACAGAGCCTGTTCTACTGAAGTTTGTCTGAAAGACATTGGTGAGGGCTCTAGAGCTTGTGGAGTTCTGTCTGTCTGCTGGATCTTTGTGGACCAAGCCTGAGCCAAAAGTGCTCAGGGGTCTCTGGCCATGGATGGAGATCCCACCCTTCTGACTGGACCAACACTGATGCACTTCACTTTGCACTGCCTAAAATGTCACTCCAGAAATTCCTCCACAGTTAACCTGACCCTCTCATCTCCAGTGACTTTTCCCCTCAGGCTTTGTCCCTGGGCCAACTCAACTCCTTCTGAGTTTCCTTTCATGTCTCTAACACCACTCACAAAGCCTGTTTGACAGTTCACTGGTGGAAAATAAACTCTGCCAGGGATGCAGACTAGCTCAGGGCCAAGTGGGGATCAGATGCCAGCAGGACTGTTGGTCCCTCAAGTTTAGCCTCTCCTGGATGCCTTTTCCCCATCACTTGGTCACTCAGCACAGCAGGGCCCAGGGAGGGGAAGCATTTGACTTTGTCATGTCATGCAAAGGAATCTGGTTTGCTGTTCCTGTCAGGCGAAGGTAGAAAGCTGGGCACCCTTGGGATGTGATTCATCTCATGCTCCTGCTGATGTCTCAGATGCATCAGAAGAACTATGTGGTGCAGGGTTTTGACGTTCAAAAAGGACATTCCCATCGAGTGTGTCCATTTGCATGTGAGTAGTGGTGTGTTACGGAATAAAACTGGTAATTCAAACACTGCAGCTCATCTCTGCGTGGCTGGAGGGTGATGCGTGTAAAGAGGGTCACTTACCTGGGGCTCAACAAACCACCATGAGTGAGGTCTCTTGGCATCTCCAGGCTGGTATTTGTAAGCAGAGTACACTGGAATTCTCCTGTCTCTGTCGTACAGGGTGGCATAGTGATACGAGTTGCTGTACCGCTGGCAGATCCAGGATGGGTTCTTTGGATTCAGGGCATCATTTGGGGGAATCCCTGCATAGAAGAACTGAGAACAGCTTGCAAAGGAGCTCACCACCTCGCTGTGTCCCAGCCAGAGGCAGCTGGCCAACACCTGCAGCAGCAGCAGCCCCAGCATGGTGGGAGGATTTCAGTGGAGGGCTCTTGCTCCCCTGGAAGGCAAATGCAGAGGGACACTCAGCTTGGAGAGAGCTGGACATGGCCTGGAGCCTTTTTGTGCAGGGGGATAGAGCTGGACATGTCCTGGAGCCTTTTTGTGCAGGGGGATAGAGCTGGACATGGTCTGGAGCCTTTTTGTGCAGGGGGACAGAGCTGCCAGAGGAGGGGATTATGAGACACCAGGAAAGGAGTAGTTTTTGTCCTCCTACATATGGAGAAATCATGAGGGCAATAAAGGTGAAACCTAAACCAGGGTTTAGGAGCCCACAGGAGGCAGCAGTGGGAGCACTCAGCCTGCAGGAGGAAGGAGCCAAACCCACCAGGACTGCAATCACCTCTAGCAGCAAAGTGATCTTGCAACTGAGGCACAGCCCTGGGACAAGGTCACCTTTTCCCACCTCCCTCCTGCCCACAGCAGACACCCGCAGCTGGGCACAGGCTCTGCTCAGCCCCCTGCCATGCTGAGCTGGGCTTGAATCTCATGGGGCATGGGGCAGGCAAAGAACAGCAATGCTGCACTTCCTACAAGTCTCTGGCCCCATCCGGGGTCACACAGACACTCAGCTCTTCCACTCAGACCCAATAGTGAACCCCAAATGATGCAGCTGGGGTCCTGCCTCTCAGCTGACACTGGGCCATGGGTGTCCTGCTGCTCACCTTGCATTTCCATGTCATCCAACCCCAGAGTCTGAACTCGCAGACACATGGAGGGAGCAAATGAAGGGGCCAAGCAGATGGTAGCAGCAAGCACAAGGGATAACACCTCTATCTTATCAGTACAGTGGCTGCTGCAGTGCAAGCACTGAGGGGCAGTTCTTCCCATTGGTTGCCTGGGATTCCTGTTGATGTCCATCTTCAGCTTTGCTGATTGATTCCCCTGTACAGTCAAAGGCTACGCTCACAGCGATTTTCCCTTTGCTTTGCAATTTTTAACAGGATCTAAGTAAATTTTATTTACTCAGTCCCACCTGGGGTAGGAGTGCTTCATAACAGTTTTGTCTCCTTTTAGAGGCAGCACAGGATTGGGAGAGCAGGGATGCTACCATTTGCATTGCCAGACACTCAGTGCAGTGATTTCATATTGTCAGCATTTGGAATAAGGCAGCTGGGACAGGCAGGTAAAAGGGTTCCTGGCAGAGAAAGCTGCCACAGCCTCTAAAGCACAAAGCCCACCTTGGGCTGGGAAGGGGCTGAGCCCAGCACTGCTGAAGGCATGACAAGTCACCTTGCACATTTGCCCCTGTCTTCTTCTTCTCCCTGACCCTCATCTCTCCATTTCCACTGGATTCAGGATGTTGAGCTGCACACAGCCCTGCTCTGGCCCAAGATATCTGGTTCTTTTTCTCTTGTTCATCCCTGGATCAGGAACATGGTGAGCAATGAGCTGGAAACTGAGAACTGCAACTACAAGTGGTGACTTTTTACAGTACCCTGCAGAGCATGCCCAAAGCTGCCCCAAAGCAAGCAGAAAAGGGTCTGAAAACTCCTTCTGCATGTCCTACTCCATGAGATTAAAACAGATCTAACTAAGGCAATATCTAAGTTAACAGATACACAGAAAACAACCTACCGTGAGAAGGAGTGATACAGGATTCTGCTCACAGCCCCCGAGTGGCAGAGGAGTCTGCAGTGCCTCTGCTGCAGTCTCAGACTCTCTGGGTTTATGTGATTTCCTGTCACGGCACACACTCCTCTGCACGCGTAAGGTGCTGTGACAATGCCCCGGAGGCCTGGAGTCCCAGCCAGCTACCGCAGATCAATGCTGATGACAAACGAGGCAGGTCTTGCTAGGTGACCTAAGGATTTACTAATTTTATTATCTGACCATAGGAAAGGACCCCAAACATAGCGGTTCCGGATATTTTCAACAAGGGAGGTCTCAGGGGAGGGTACAGCTCCTCATCCAATCTGAGAAGTTTAGGGGAGGAACATAAGGCAGGGTTTGCAATCTTCTAACCAATTGGGCACACAGCGGGAGGGAAACAGTTCGAATAAACCAATGGAGCTCCCAGGATTTGGGGATTTCCAAAGGGGAGATCTCGCAGGGGGTTGGTAGAAGAAGGGATTGACAACTGCGGGGAAGAGGAACTGGGACTGTTTAAAATTAGGGCTTGGTTTTAGGAAAGGTAGACAGCTAGCAAGGAGGGTGTAATTTGGACTGAACTGATGAGGCAGGGGGTGGAAACGGAATTGACCATTAAGGACAAAAACACACTGTAACACTCTCCAGGAAGAGAGTTAGATTTATCAAGCAGGCCTAAGGATGAATTTTCTCAGGAGATCACACCGCACTTCTGTTTCTCCAAAGGTTTTTTAGAAGTTGACGAATGTAGTTTTAGTACTGAATAGTCTCCCCCACCCTTCTTATTCAACAATTTGTTGTTCATTTTCAGGTGAGCTGGCTTTAGTTTCTTTCCCAAATAATTCAATCTGTACTTGCCCTCCTGACTGTTGGAAAATACTGAAATCTTGCAAAATGCAATGCATGCATAAGCGCTGATTGCTCCTTGGAGCTTAGCAACTCCAGTCTAGGCTTTGTCTATGTATATTTATACCAAAGCTCAGGAAAGACTTTGAATACTGGAGTTAATGGTGAGGAAGGAGGAAGAGCTTACCTTGAAGCAAAGACTCAGAAGAAGCAGCTGAACTTTTCCTTCTGTCTTTTGCCTGGAGACAGAAGTGATTGAATCCGCAGGAGTGCCACTGCAATATACACCCAGGCATAAATTTGCCCCTTCTTAAAAACAGGGAATTCCACGGAAAATAGAGCTTTCTGTTTCCGTTCAGGCAGTATGTTCACACCCACTCTGAAATGGGTTGACAGTTGTTTCTCAAATTTTCCCCAGAATTTCTCCCAAATTTGCTGCCTTGCAGCATGGCATGTCAGGATCAGCTAACAGGGTCTGGTGGCTGCCTTGATCATTTCATCAATCCCACCAACTGCAGCTGCTGCTGCTCCAGCACCTACATGTGTTCCTGCTCCCAACAGAACATCTCTGGTGACATTGGATGGACTGGCCTGGCTCTGAGTGCACTCAGATATTCACAGTCTGCTCTTCTGCAGCCTCCCATAACATCATTCCTGTGGCCAGGCTACAAATATTCTCTTGCCTGATTGCCATGGCTGTGCAACAGCTTCATCCCAGGTGCCTGGGAAGGAGAAGGCTCTGGGGACACCTCAGAGCAGTAGCCAGTACTGTAGGAGTCTACAGGAGACTGCAGAGAGACTTTGTACAAGGGCATGGAGCTGATAGGCGTGCTGGGTTCAGAGTTAACATTCTTGACAGTGGCTGGTGTGGGGCTGTGTTTGGAGTTCTGCTGAACACAGAGTCAATAACACAGAGATGTTTCTGGTATTGCTGAGCAGAGCTTTTACAGGGCAAGACCTTTTCTGCTTTTTGTACTGCCAGGCTGGCAAGGAGGCTGGGGGTACTTGGGAGGAGCCACCCATGAGTTTTCCAGCTTTTCCCCTTCCAGTTCTCTCCCTGTGGTCGGGGAGTGAGGGAATGGCTGCGCGGGGCGTGGCTGCTGGCCGGGCTTAAACCACACCATTAGGATAAAATGAAAGTGCTTGAAATGGCAGGAGTGTAAGTTTAAGTGGATATTTGGAAGATATTTCTTACTGTGGGGATGGTGAAGCCCCAGCACAGGTTGCTCACAGAAGCTGAGAATGCCCCATCCCTGGAAGTGTCCATGGCCAGGCTGGCTGGGGCTTGGAGCAACGTGGGATAGTGGAAGGTATCCCTACCCATAGGATGGCATGGAAGCAGCTGGTCATTAAGGTCCTTTCCAACCCAAATGTTCTGTCCTTCAATGAGCATTCATTCACTCAAAGTTAAACTGGACACATGTTCTTGCATTTCCAAAAGTCCAGGAATAATAGAATGATGAGTTGGTTTTTACAACCAGAAGTATCCAGAAGAAGTGTGTTAGACCACAGTTGGTTTAAACAAACTGGTTGGGTCCTGTGGTTTCTTTAGTCTCTGTTAACCTGGGACTGATGTCTTAAAGAAAGCAAGGTTTATCCAGAATGAGGGAGAAGGCCAAGAAGTTGCAGATCTGGTGGAGGTGGGGCAAATTCCTCCTTCCTTATGAGGCCCAGCTGACAGAACAAAGCAGGACCCATCATTAGAAGGAGCCACAAAGAATCAAATATCCCCAAAGTGTCCCCCAACTCCACAGTGCTGCATGACCCAGTATAAAACGCTTACCAAGGGGAAAAGTGGGGCAATCCCACGTAATCGTGAACTCACGGAACCCATTGAACTGTTAAATGCAAAGGCCCCCACCGCCAAAGGATCAAGAGTGGGGACATTAAAGTTGGGAGTCTTGTTCCTGGATCTGTGGGGATATCTTGTATGAGCTGTTGGCACCCTGTCCCACTTTGTTCATGCCATTAACAGGAGAATAACTGCTGTCTGAGACTGGCACTGGTTTGGATGTTGGCACATCCTCTGATTGCATTTGCACACCCTATGTCCTGCAAGGATGCTCTGGGCACTGTGACTTTACTGGTGGCTATTGAAATTTCAGTGGAAAGCAACTTGTGATTTATAGAAGACGTGACCCTGCAATCCAGCACTGCATCACATAACTTTTATTGTGAGCTCTTGCAAACTACATGATGTGGCAGACATTGATCTTTGACAACCATTGAATACATTTCCCCAAATCAGTTTCCCATAAATCTGCAGAAAAGCTTCAGAAGCAGAGCAGAGAATGAAGGTGTCCAAGGAGTGCATCACAGGAATTCAGCTTTGGCTGCTCTACGCTTTCCATGTATCTGATGCCAAGCCTGCCTGTCTGATACAACAGCTGCTGCTCTCAAGGTGCAGTTTCAAAAGCATACAAACCAAAGTATGTTCCAGGATCACAGAATCACTAAATTGTGGAGTTTTCGAGGGACTTCTCAGGACCATCTAGTCCAGACTCCAGGATCCAGCAGGGGCAGCTAGAGCAGGTTGTCCAGAATCACGTATTGTTGGCATTTGGGTATCTCCAGGCATGGAGATCTCCAGACAGGATCTGCCACCGTTGAGGCTGCTATCCTGTGGCACTATGTTGGTGAGGGTGAAGGTAGCCATCTTGCTCTCACTACTGAACTGATGGCCACTGGGGCTCAAATGGCCACGGTCCAAACCCTTCAGTCCTTTGTAGTCGGCAGGAACAGCTTGGCTCTGGTTGATTTGGTCTAAGGTGAACTTGTGTTGCTCTATGAGGATCCAATCCCTTTCCATCTCTTTAAGATTTACATTGTTATCTATGAGCTGGACAGGGAAATAGAAAGAGGTATTAGAAGAGGGAATGAGAGTAATGGAACAGATTTCCCTGGAGCAGAAGTCTCTGACGGTCAAGATCACATTTTGTGTTATCTCTGTGCAGGAAAACATTTGAATCTGAGAGAAATCATACACATGTCCCTCCTGCATGAATGCAAGAGCGTTAAAGAGAAAGTAGCTCAGAATGTGACTGCTCTCTGTTTGACTTGTGAGCTTTCTGATCCAGCCTGCAGCCTGTGCTGGGAGCAAGGATTGATGGACGAGACAAGGAGCATTTCCTACTCCTAGGATTGAAAGGTGACTTTGGTGAGACACCTCCCCTGCCAAATCTGCTTCTCTTTCCTCTTGTCTCCACAGCCCAAATCTGCCCAGGGCTCTCCCTGGATCCTGTCACACCACGCTGTGATTGTGTCATTTTATGATTCTGTGATTTTTATGTGTGGTTGCTACAGGTGTCCCCCAGTCCTGGAACACCAGGACTGTAACCCCATACAGAGGGAGATGTGTCAGGATATCAGTCTTGGAGCTGAGGTTTCCCTGGCAGGGCTGCAGTTCATTCAAGGTTGAACAGTTTTGCTCAGTAAACAAAAACATCTCAGTGTGAATGGAATCTGTTACAGCAGAGCTGAGAATGTGTCTCAGGGCTGATCTGGGCCAGGGAGCATTTTCTGCAGCATTGCTGGTAGGAGGTTACAAATGATCAGCCTCAGAGAGGGATCTGTAAGCTCAGAAGAGTCCTGGCGAAACTAAATACCCCAACAAGGCCTCTGGAGTAAATCAACAAAATGAAAGCCTTTTTAAATGGCCTGGGTTCATGTCCAGGAGGAAAATGCCAGGTTGGATAGGGCTTGGATCATGCTGGACAATGATCCAAGTGGCAAGTGGCCTGGCCCATGCAGTGGAGTTGGACTGAGATGGTCTTTAAGGGTCTTCAAACACCAACCACTATGATTCTCAAAAAGAGAGAATGTGGAGGCTGTAGTGGTGCAATGCCAGAGTAGTTGCTTGAGTTCCTAAGCATAAGATGAAATAGTTCATTTTTTCATAACTTCAATATCTTTTGGTTCATCTTTAGAAAACATATTTAGCCTTCTTCTGGAGTAGGGCATGTAGTTTCCTTCTCTGGCTCACCTTCCCCCAAGTGCCATCCTGCTACTCTGTCCTTAGCAATGACAGGAATTGCTTCATTTTCTCTTCTGCAATTGGCCTGGCCTGTTCTACTGAAGTTTGTCTGAAAGACATTGGTGAGGGCTCTAGAGCTTGTGGAGTTCTGTCTGTCTGCTGGATCCTTGTGGACCAAGCCTGAGCCAAAGGTGCTCAGGGGTCTCTGCCCATGGATGGAGATCCCACCCTTCTGACTGGACCAACACTGATGCTCCTCACCTTGCACTGCCTGAAATGTCACTCGATATATCTCTCCACAGTAAACATGACCCTCTTATCTCCAGTGCCTTTTCCCTCAAGGCTTTGTCCCTGGGCCAGCTCACCCCCTTCTGAGTTTCCTTTCATGTCTGTAGCACCACTCACAAAGGCTGTTTGACTCTTCACTGGGAGCAGATAAGCTCTGCCAGGAATGCAGAACAGCTCAGGGCCAAATGGATGGAGGTTGATGTGCGTAAAGAGGGACACTCACCTGGGGCTCAACCATCCACCACTCTGGAGGTTTCTTGGCATCTCCAGGTTCATATTTGTAAGCAGAGTACACTGGAATTCTCCTGTCTCTGTCGTACAGGGTGGCATAGTGATACGAGTTCCTGAAGCGCTGACAGATCCAGGCTGGATTCTTTGGATTCAGGGCATCATTTGGGGGAATCCCTGCATAGAAGAACTGAGGACAACCTGCAAAGGGTGTTACCACCTCGCTGTGTCCCAGCCAGAGGCAGCTGGCCAACACCTGCAGCAGCAGCAGCCCCAGCATGGTGGGAGGATTTCAGTGGAGGGCTCTTGCTCCCCTGGAAGGCAAATGCAGAGGGACACTCAGCTTGGAGAGAGCTGGACACGGCCTGGAGCCTTTTTGTGCAGGGGGAGAGAGCTGGTGGAGGAGAGAATGATGAGACACCAGGAAAGGAGTAATTTCTGTCCTCCTGGAGATGGAAAAATCATGAGGGCAATAAGGGTGAAATCTAAACCAGGGTTTAGGAGCCCACAGGAGGCAGCAGTGGGAGCACTCAGCCTGCAGGAGGAAGGAGCCAAACTTGGCACTACAAGTAGTGGCTTTTTACAGTACCCTGCAGAGCATGCCCAAAGCTGCCCCAAAGCAAGCAGAGAAGGGTCTGACAACTCCTTCAGCGTGATCAACTGCATGAGATTAAAATAGTTCTAACTAAGGCAATATCTAAGTTAACAGATACACAGAAAACAACCTACTGTGAAAAGGAGTGGTACAGGATTCTGCTCGCAGCCCCAAAGTGGCAGAGGTGTCTCCAGTGCCTCTGCTGCAGTCTCAGACTCTTTGTTTATATGCTCTCCAGGAAGAGGCAGTTGTTAGATTTCCCAAGAAACCTTTAGCGTAAATTTTCCCATGTGTTCAGACCACACCTCTGTTTGTCCAGAGGTTTTTTACAAGGCCATGGGTGCTGTTTCAGTAGTGAATAGTCTCCCGCATCCTTCTTATTCAACTGTTTGACATTAATTTTCAGGTGTACTGCCTTGAGATTCTTTCCAAAATCATTCCTTCATTACTTGCCCTCCTGACCGACAGAAAATACTAAAGTCCTGCAGAATTCAGGGCATGCATAAGCTCTGATTGCTCCTTGGAGCTCAGCAATTCCAGCCTAGGCTTTGTCTGTGTATATATATTTATTTCAAAATGTCAGGAAAGACTCTGAATATTTGAGTCAATGGTGAGGAGAGAGCAAGGGCTTACCTTGATGCAGAATTTCAGAACAGGCAGGTGAACAGTTCCTTTTGTCTTCTCCCTGGAGAAAGGAGTGTTTCAGTGCTCAGGAGTGCCACTGCTATATATACCCTGTCACAGATTTGCCCCTTGTTATCAACAAGGACTTCCACAGAATAGAGAAGTTTTCTATTTTTATTCGGAAGGTATGTGCACACCCACCCTGAAATGTGCTGACTGTTGTTTGTCATAGTTTCCCCAGAATTTCTCCCATATTTGCTGTCTTGCAGCATGGTATGTTAACTATATACCCAGTCATGAAGTTGCCCTTTCTTGTAAACAGTGAATTCCACAGAAAAGAGAAGCTTTCTGTTTTCAGTTAGGGTGTTTGTTCACACCCACCCTGAAATGTGTTGACAGTTGTTTCTCAAATTTTCCCCAGAATTTCTCCCAAATTTGCTGCCTTGCAGCATGGCATGTCAGGATCAGCTAACAGGGTCTGGTGGCTGCCTTGATCATTTCATCAATCCCACCAACTGCAGCTGCTGCTGCTCCAGCACCTACATGTGTTCCTGCTCCCAACAGAACATCTCTGGTGACATTGGATGGACTGGCCTGGCTCTGAGTGCACTCAGATATTCACAGTCTGCTCTTCTGCAGCCTCCCATAACATCATTCCTGTGGCCAGGCTACAAATATTCTCTTGCCTGATTGCCATGGCTGTGTAACAGCTTCATCCCAGGTGCCTGGGAAGGAGAAGGCTCTGGGGACACCTCAGAGCAGTAGCTAGTACTGTAGGAGTCTACAGGAGACTGCAGAGAGACTTTGTACAAGGGCATGGAGCTGATAGGCGTGCTGGGTTCAGAGTTAACATTCTTGACAGTGGCTGGGGCTGTGTTTGGAGTTCTGCTGAACACAGAGTTGATAACACAGAAATGTTTCTGGTATTGCTGAGCAGAGCTGTCACAGAGCAAGACCTTTTCTGCTTTTTGTACTGCAAGGCTGGCAAGGAGGCTGAGGGTACTTGGGAGGAGACACAGCCAGGAGAGGTGAGCCCAGCTGACCAGAGGGATATTCCAGACCATTTGACATCATGCTGAGGATATAAAGTGAGGGGAAGGAGGAGAAAGGAGGTGTTATTTGGAGTGGTGGGTTTTGTCTTTGGAGGCAGCTGTTAGGTGGGATGGGGCCCTGCTCTCCTGGAGGTGGCTGAACACCTTTCTGTCCATGGGAAATGGTGAAAGATCTCCTTGACATGCTTTGCTTGTGAGTGAAGTTTTTGTTTTCCCTGTTAAACTGTCTCTGTCTGCATCACAAGTTTTCCAGCTTTTCCCCTTCCAGTTCACTCTCTGGTCCCAATGTTTGGGAAGTGAGGTTGTCGCTGCTGGCTGGGGTTAAACCACGTCTTTAGGACGGAATTCACAGAATGACTTGGTTGGAAGAGACCCTCAAAATGATTGAGTGCAACCCATGCCCCAACATCTTAACTGAACCACGGCACTGAGTGCTGTATCCAGTCTTTTTTTAAAACACTTCCAGGGATGGTGACTCCACCACCTCCCTGGGCAGACCATTCCAGAACTTCATCACTTTTTCCATGAAAAACTTTTTCCTAATATCCGACCTTTATTTCCGTTGATGCTGCTTGAGACAAGGTGAAAGGGCTTGAAAGGAGTGTAGGTTTAGAGTGGGTATTGATAGATATTGGTTACTGTGGGGATGGTGAAGCCCCAGCACAGGTTGCCCACAGAAGCTGAGAATGCCCCATGCCTTGAAGTGTCCATGGCCAGGCTGTCTGGGGCTTGCAGCAACCTGGGATAGTGGAAAATGTCACTGTCCATGGGAGGGCATAGATTTAGCTGGTCATTAAGAACCTTTCCAACCCACAATGTTCTGTCATTCAATGACCATTCATTCACTCAAAACTAAACGAGACTTAATTCCTTCTGTTTCCACAAGTCCAGGAATAATAGAATTGTGAGTTGGTTGTTAAAACCAGAAGTATCCAGAAGAAGTGTGCAGGACCAAAATTTGTTCAAACAAACTGGTTGAGTCCCATGGTTTCTTTTGATCTGTTAACCTGGGACTGATGTCTTAAAGAAAGCAAGGTTTATCCAGAATGAGGGAGAAGGCCAAGAAGTTGCAGATCTGGTGGAGGTGGGGCAAATTCCTCCTTCCTTATGAGGCCCAGCTGACAGAACAAAGCAGGACCCAACAGTGGTCACATCATTAGAAGGGGACATAAACCACCAAAGACCCCCAAAGCATCCCCCAACTCCACAGTGCTGTATGACCAAGTGTAAAACCCCTCCCAGGGGAAAAGTAGGGCAATCCCACATAATCCTGAACTCACAGAACCCATTGGACTCTTTGTTGCACAGCTCCCTACCCCCAAACAGTAAGGATGTCAACGTTGCAAGGAGCCATGGGGATATCTTGTAAGAGCTGTTGGCCCACTTTTTCATCCTCATTTGTTGGAGAAGTATGTAGAATGTGATGCTGACAATTTTGCGGGTGTTATGGCATCCTCTGGTTGTGTTTGGACACCCAACCTTCTGTGAGGATGGGCACTGTGACTTTACTGCTGGTGGAAATATCAGTGGAAGCAACTTGTGATTTACATATGAGGTGAACCTGCAATCCAGCACTGCAGCAAGTAAACTTTATTTTGAATGCCTGTGTTGGGACTGACCGAGGTAAAGGTCACAGCCCTTACAGTGCTGTGCTGGTAGCTGGACAGCTGTTGATAAGAGACCAGTGTTTTGGCTACTGCAAAGCAGCACTGTCCCTCTGACATTCCTTCCCCCATCACAGGGGATGGGAGTGGGCAAGACCCTGGGAGGGGACACAACCAGGCCAGCTGACCTAAATTAGGCAAAGGGATATTTCATCCCATATGACTTCAGCTCAGATATGTAAGCTAAGGGAGAGAGGAGGAAGGAGGGCTGTGTGTGAGTTTTCAGTGCTGGCCTTCTAGAGGAGTTGTGCCCTGCTTTCCAGGAAGTGTCTGAACATTGCTGTTGATATGAAGTAGAGACTGGCTTTTGCTCTCTTTAGCTCTTGCACACCAGGCACACACCTTCATGGAGAGTGTGTGTGTGTGGAGATTCCTCCCTGGAGTGGAGATGTCTCTCAAGGTCACTTCTCAAAGCTGAGCCAACAAGATTTGATCATGGTCGTTGTTATGGGTGATCTCTGTTTAACTGTTTTTGCTGGTTTTTATATAACTGCTTTAATATATTTGCTTCAATACCTCTTCACAGTGGACAATATTATACTAGTAGTTATAGCTTCCATACTGTGAACTAAGTAATTCTGATTAACATATTTTTGCCTTATCACTATAATCTTAAATCATATATAATTATGTAAATATGTATAGTTTGCAATCTTCAAACCCATGGGACAAGCTGTATAAAGTTTCAATAACATTTATATAATCCTTTAGATAACAATTGACAAAATCTGGGGCTAAGATTGGATCCAACTGAACCCAGACAGCTCCTTCAGAAGGAGTTTACCAAGCCAGGGGGTCCTTCCTGCAGCTCATGACTCAACAGGAAGGTTTCTCTATTAACCTTTGCCTGAAGCTCCCATTCTGCCCACAAAATCACTTTCAAGGAAAAGGGAACACCCCCCACCCCCCAAGATCCCTAAATGTTCATGGTCAAAAGGAACAACAAAAATCAGAAGATATGTAAAATTCCACAAAGTTTATTAGTAAATTACACACTTAGCATGGAAATTGTTATGTTAGTCCCTAAACTACTCTATAAGCAGGTAGCACTGGATATCCTTCTATATATAAATTTTCCTGATCTGAAGACAGGTTTCTCACTTCCTAATGAAACATAGATATGATGTGAAGTCTGCTCTCTCAGACCTTCCTGGAAATGAATCAGAAGTCTTTGGGACCCTTGAGTTGTCTTGTTCATTTCTACAGTCTATTTGTCCCCCTCTATTCTGTTCTGGTGAGACCTCACCTGCAGTGCTGCCTCCAGTTCTGGGATCCACAACAGAAAACGGAGACAAAGCTGTTGGAGTGGAGTCCAGAGGAGGCCACAAAAATGCTCCAAGAGCTGGAGCACATCTGCTCTGGAGAGAGAGGGAGCTAAGGGTGAGGGAGCCTGGAGAAAAGAAGGCTCTTGGGAGAATTTGGACCCCTTCCAGTGTCTAAATGGTTTTAGAAGAGAGAGGGAGTTTGGACAAGGGTGTGGAGTGACAGGACAAGAGGGAATGGCTTTAAACTGAAAGCAGGTGGGGTTAGATTAGATGTTAAGAAGAAATTCTTTACTGTGAGGACAGTGAGGCCCTGGCATAGGTTGTCCAGAGAAGTTGCGGCTGCTCCATCTCTGGAAGTGTTCAAAGCCAGGTTGGGCAGTGACATGGCTGTCCACTTGGGGATGACCATGGCTAGCCCAAGCTCCTCTCCTGGCCTGTGCCAAGAGTGGCTGCTCCCTGTCCACCCCCTGTACCGGTCTGGGTGGCAGTAAAGCAGGGCTGCCTAGCTCTCAGAGGCAGCAAAGCTGCTCTGTGCAGCTGCTGTTAGAATCCTGAGTTGAGTCCAGAGTGAAGGAAAAGAGAGGGATCACTTGTATAGGTTCTCAAGAGGCTTTAATCTGATAGAGTCCAGGGACAAGTGACAATGTTCCGACAGGGTAACAGCATCTTAAGTACAGGGGAGGGAACATAGGGAGGATACAAACTTGGACCAGTGGTGAGACACCCGGGGAGGGGCACAAGGCGGTGTATACATCATGACATCTGATGGGAGACAACAGGGGAGGAGAGCAGGCCAAGGAGACCAATAGGTATTTGAGGGATCCAGGATGCATGCAGAAGATTCTGGAAACAAAGGTGGGGTTTCTGTGATGGACAAGGGAGGAGGGCAGGGTCTCCCTGAGTAGCAGGGATGACTGTGGAATAAGGGGTAGGTCTTTAGGTAGATGGACAGGGGAATGGGTGGATGTATCTCAGGGACAAACCAATATGTATGGGGGACAACTGGAGGAAACCATTTTGAACTTATAACACCACAATTTCATAACAAAGAAACTCACTACCACAGGACAGGGCTTGGAGCCACCAAGGATAGTGGAAGATGTCCCTTCCCATGGCTCAGGAGCTGAGACTACACGGATGGTCTTTGAAATTCCTTCAAACCCAAACCATTCTGTGATTGTATGACATATGGCAAAAGCTCCTGAGCCTGTTCCACCCAGGATGTGAGGCTTATTCCCGGGGACAGTCACTGTCAAACAGGGAAACCTGTCCCCTCCCATAGAGCTCAGTTAACGTGTCCTCCAGCTCTCCCAGTGTGAGGAGCTCAACCTCATTCTTGTCGTTCTCAGCGATGACCGCCCAGGCCTTTATGTAGTTATTGTCCACCACGCAGCAGGCAGCTGACCAGAGGTGGCTGGGTTTATTAACCCTCCCCTTGGCGATGTAGTTGTTCCCAGGCACAGCACCCACGACGACATAGGTGGTTGTACAGCCCTGGGTCCTCCTGATCATCGTTTGCTGCTCGTAGTTGTTCCAGGCACCACCGTTGAGTTTCTCATCCTGGGGCACGATGTTGGTGAGGGTGAAGGTAGCCATCCTGCTGCTGTAGTCATCGTGGTGGCCATTGGGGTTCAAATGGCCCCGGTTCAGACCCGTCAGGTTCTTGTAGTCATGAAGGATAGCCTGGCTCTGGCTGAGTTTCTCTAAGGTGACATTGTAATGATTTAAGAGTGTCCACTCTTTTTCCATAGTTTTGGGATAAGTTGGGCCAATCAGCTTGACAGGAAATAAAGAGAAAAAGGTGTTAGTATTGGGGATGAGGATAATTGAACAGACTTCTCTAGAGCAGAAGTCTCTGAGTGTCAAGATCCATGTTTTTGTCTGCTCCTGATGTGGTACAATACCAGATTAGTTGCTTGAGTTCCTATGAGGATCTCAAAGTGCAATCAAACTGCAACTACTTTTTTGTTTCAGAAATTCATTTCACATTTAGTGCATTATATTTAGCTTTCCTTTGGAACACTGCATATGGGTTTCTTCTGTGGTTCCTTTTCACCTAAATCAATCCTGCCCCTCTGTCCTTTGCAATGACATGAATTTCCTCTTTTTGTGCCCATTATTCCCTTGGCCTGTTTTCCTAAAGTTCTGAAGTTTGACTGAAAGACATCTGGGAGAGCTCTGTTGGTTTTGGAGTTCTGTCTGTCTGCTGGATCCTTGTGGACCAAGCCTGAGCCAAAGGTGCTCAGGGGTCTCTGCCCATGGATGGAGATCCCACCCTTCTGACTGGACCAACACTGATGCTCCTCACCTTGCACTGCCTGAAATGTCACTCCAGAAATCCCTCCACAGTTAACCTGACCCTCTCATCTCCAGTGACTTTTCCCCTCAGGCTTTGTCCCTGGGCCATTTCACCCCCTTCTGAGTTGCCTTTCATGTCTCTAACACCACTCACAAAGCCTGTTTGACTTCACTGGGAGAAGATAAACTCTGCCAGGGATGCAGAACAGCTCAGGGCCAAGTGGGGATCAGATGCCAGCAGGACTGTTGGTCCCTCAAGTTTAGCCTCTCCTGGATGCCTTTTCCCCATCACTTGGTCACCCAGCACAGCAGGGCCCAGGGAGGGGAAGCATTTGACTTTGTCATGTCATGCAAAGGAATCTGATTTGCTGTTCCTGTCAGGTGAAGGCAGAAAGCTGGGCACCCTTGGGATGTGATTCATCTCATGCTCCTGCTGATGTCTCAGATGCATCAGAGGAATCATGTGATGAAGGTGTTTGGAATAAAATGGGGAGAATCCTGTCCAGTGTGTCCATTTGCATGTATGTAGTGGGTTGGGACAAAATACAAATGGTTATTTTGATATTGCTTTTAATGACTGGAGGGTGATGTGCTGTAAGAGAGACACTCACCTGAGGCTCAACCAGCCATGTTTTAGGTCTTTTGCCCGGTCCAGGCTGGTAGATGTAAGCAGAGTACACAGGAATACGCATCTTCCTGTCATACAGGGTGGCAAAGTAATACTGGTTCTTGTAGCGCTGGCAGATCCAGGCTGGTTTCTGCGGCACCAGGGCTTCATTTGGAGGGATCTCCCGGAAAAAAAACTGAGGACATGAAGTTTCAAAGGAGTTCACCACCTCGCTGTGTCCCAGCCAGAAGGCAGCTGGCCAACACCTGCAGCAGCAGCAGCCCCAGCATGGTGGGAGGATTTCAGTGAAGGGCTCTTGCTCCCCTGGAAGGCAAATGCAGAGGAGGAGTCTATGAGAGACCAAGGTGGGGGTAACTTCTGTCCTCCTGGATATGGAAAAATCATCAATGTTATAGGGTTGTGCAGGGAGATGACTGGGGATAAAAGGATAGTGGTAAACAGGTTACAGGAGAAAATACAGCTGCTCCTCCCTGGATGAAACACAGTCAGCATACCTGGCCTCCCACACACAAGGAGGACTAAATCTAAGGTGGGCCTAAGCAGCAGGTGGAGTGGAGTGGAGATGCCATGGCCAGGCTCTCTCAAAAGCTTTACAGAGGAGACACCTCAGTGGCATTTTCTATCTGATAATCTGCCAACTGAATGACAACTGAAAACCATGGGACACAAATGAAGATGTCCTGCTGCTGAATCAGCAACCATGGCAAAATTCCTCTCCTTGGTCTGACGCACATCCCCATCCCAAGGTTACTGCAGGTACTTTACTGAGATATTCACCCCCAGGGCTTGAGAGCCCCTCACTGAGAAAGATGTATGACTACATGTAGACACCGCCTAAATGTAAAGAAATAATATAAAAGTGAATTACAAATGGAGAGAAGTGATGGAAGACTACATTGTAACTTCTGGGGTCAATTGATGGACTGAACCTGCCTTCTCTCCCTTGGAGATGCCTATTGGGTAAGAATCCTACTTTAAGCATGCTGAATGATTTCCTCAAGCCAGCTTTTGCTGGAGATTAAAGCTTCTTAGTATATTGTTCTGAATTATTATCTCACTTTGAATATCTCTTTGCAGTCAGATACTTTCACTGGCAAGCCTCAAACCTTAACCTGTCACCGTTTTATTAATAGTGTTATTCTGTAAATAGTTAAAAGTGAGTCCTTCAGAGGCACTGACAGTTTCTGGCAGGGGGTAAAGGTGTGGAGACCCAGGAGGGCTTTCTCTGGTTGGTGTGTGACCCTGAACTAGTCAGTCAAACCCTCCAACACAGAGAACTGCTCAGTGAAGAGTCCCTACCACAGGACACCAACAGACTGGGAAGTGTTTTGGCTTTCATGTGGCAGTAACAGACTGAACACACACTGAAGGTTTGAGCAAATCTCCCTTTTTCACATGAGATAATGCAATGTAAAATAGGTTTTACGTGCCCAGAGGAGGCAATAGTGGGTGCATAGTCTGTCTGAGGGGTGTTCCAAACCCACCCAATGCCTAAAGAGCTCTCATGGCAAAATTATAATGGAACTGAGATATGGCACTGGGACAAGGTCACCTTTTCCAGCCTATTTCAGTTGAGCTCAGAGCTCAGCTTTTGCACTGGCACTGGAGAAAAAATCCTTCAACAAAACAGGGCTGGGGGGCCCCTACTTCCAAACATGATCTCATGGAATCACAGAAGATGCTGAGTTGGAATGGACTCATCAGGACCATCGGGTCCAACTTCTGGCCCTGCCCAGGACAGACCCAGAAAATCCACCATGTGCCTGACAGTGTTGTACAAACATATTTTGTACTCAGGCAGGTGTGGTGATGTGACCACTTCCCACAGAAGCCTGTTTCAGGGCTCAACCACCCTCTGGGTGAAAAACCTCTTCCTGATATCCAGCTTAAATCTTCCCTGACTCAGTTTCAGGCCATTCTCACTCCCTTCTGCTCTCAGCACCTGCCCACAGCAGACACCTGCAGCTGGGCACAGGCTCTGCTCAGCCCCCTGCCATGCTGAGCTGGGCTTGAATCTCATGGGGCATGGGGCAGGCAAAGAACAGCAATGCTGCACTTCCTACAAGTCTCTGGCCCCATCCGGGGTCACACAGACACTCAGCTCTTCCACTCAGACCCAATAGTGAACCCCAAATGATGCAGCTGGGGTCCTACCTCTCAGCTGACACTGGAGTATTAAGCTAAATATACCCTTGGCTCTGATGCAAGGCATCTGGTCCTTTTTCTCTTTAGCAACCCCGGATCAGTAAGCTGGAAACTAAGAACAGGAACAACAAGTGGTGACTTTTTACAGTACTCTGCAGAACATGCCCATAGCTGCCCCAAATCAAGTAGAGAAGTTCCTGAAAAGTTCTTTTGTAGGACCCCCTCCACAAGCTTAAAATATATTTAACTAAATGTCTAACTTAATATCAGATATATAGAAACCAGCCTACCGTGAGAAGGAGTGGCACAGGATTCTGCTCGCAGCCCCAAAGTGGCAGAGGAGTCTCAAATGCCTCTGCTGCAGTCTCAGACTGGCTGTTTCTATATAATCTCCAAGTAGGCAGAGTTGTTAGATTTCCCACAGTGTTTAGAGGGAGTTTGCCCAGGAGTTCAGCCACCTGTGTTTGTCCAGAGGCCTCTTGCAAGGTCATGGGTGGAGTTTTGGTGCTCAATAAACTTACCCCTCCTTCTTATTGAACAGTTTGATGTTAATTTTCCAGGTGGCTTGGCTTGAAATTCTTTCCCAAATCATACCTCTGTCCTTGCCCTCCTTTACAGAAAGTGTTAAAGAGCTGCAAAATTCAGTGTGCATAAACCCTCCTTGCTTCTTGGAGAATAGATGTGGGAAATCAGCAACTCCTAGGCTTTGCCTATATATATTTATTCCAAAGCTCAGGAAAGTCCTGAAATATTGGAGTAAATGGTGGGAAAGGAGCAAGACCTTACCTTGAAGCAGAGTCACAGAACAGGCAGTTGGAGAGTTTCTTCTTCTCTCTGAAGAAACACTTGGCTGATCCCTCAGGAGTCCCAGTGCAATATATACCTGGTCATAAATCTGCCCGTTGTCATAAACAAGGAATTTCACTGAAAAGAAATGTTTTCTGTTATTATTCAAGGAGATTTGTTCACGACCACCCTGAAGTGGGTGACATTTGCTATTTGCAATTTCCTCAGGATTTCTCCCAGGTTCTTGCATCATCACGTGTCAGGAGAAAATAACTGGGTCTGGTGACTTATCTGTTCATTTCCTCATTCCCCATGAACGGGGACCTACATGTGTTCCTGTTCCTGGCAGAACATCTCTTGTGGCATTGGACTGACTGGCCTGTCTCTGAGTACACCCAGATGTTCACAGTCTGCTCTTCTGCAGCCTCTCAGAACACAATTAGTAGGGTCAAGCTGCGTATTTTCCCTTGCCTGATTGCAAAGGCTTTGTAAGAGCCCTTATTCATGCAAAGCCTTCTGCTGAGAAGGCTCTGGGAGACCTTAGAGCTTCTTCAGTACCTGAGAGTGATTCACATGGAGAGGAACTTTTGAGAAGGGTTTGGAGTGACAGGACAACAGGGAGCAGCTTTAAACTCACAGAAGGCAGAGCTAGATTAGATGTTAGGATTAGATTTTAGTCTCGAGAAGAGCAGGCATAGGGCACTCTACAATTGCCTGAAAAGAGGTTGTAATGAGGTTGAAATTAGTCTCTTCTACCATGTCAGTAGTGAGAGGACTAGAGGAAAATGCTTTAAGATGAGACAGGGGAAATTCATATTAGATGTTAGAAAAAACAATTTCAACTGCCACGTTGTCAGACAATGGAAGAGGTTGCCCAGAGAGGTACTGGAGGCACCATCCCTGGAGGTGTTTCAGAGGCATTTGGATTTGGCACTGGATGATATGGGTTGGTGGTTTAAGGTTTACAGTGGTAGTGCTGAGAGGATGGTGTGACAGACCTTGGAGGTCTATTCCAACCTTGAATTCTGTCATTCAGTAATTCTGTGAAACCAATTCCTTCTTCTTTTTGGCTTCCCAAGTATTTCACAAGCTTGCTGTGAAGGACAGGGCATTTCTGGGTACTGCCAGGGGTAAAGGTCCCCAGGACAGCCCAAGGAGGTTATGGAGGTGGGATTCATGGGGTTGGTCAATCACCCATAGCTCCAGAGCCTGGAAAGTGGAAGCAGTGGGCATGGGATGAGCAGGGATGAGGATGAGTGTGGTGTCAAGCCCCAGCCAGTGTGCAGAGGTGGGTGAACGAGTCAGAGGCACCCCCTGAGGTTCAGCAGAGGTGTCTGCAGATGTCTTTCAGCCTGAAATTGCACTGATGTCCTGGGAACTGTGACATTATTGGTAGTAGAAATTTCAGCAAGAAGGAACTTGTTGTTTATACATGAGATGACCCTGCCAAACAGCACTGCAGCAAATAATTTTTATTGTGAGCTACTCAGGAACTAAATGATCTGTCCTGTGATGATCTTTTGATTATGACATTGAATATGTTGAATACATTTCCCCAAATCAGTTCCCTATATTTTTGCAGAAAAGCTTCAGAAGCAGGGCAGGGAATTAAGGTATCCAAGCAGTGCATCATAGAAATTTATCTGTGGCTGCTCAAAGCTTTCTTTATACCTAATGCCTCATCCTGCCTGTCTGATACCACAGATGCTGCTCTCAAGGTGCAGTTTCAAAAGCAAGCAAACAAAAGCATGTCTCAGGATCACATCATCACTGAATTGTTGAGTGTGGGAGGGATGATTCAAAACCTGCTAGTCCATTCCCTTGTTCAAGGAGGATCATCTAGAGCAGGTTGTCCAGAATCTTGTCCTTGCACCTGGAGTGCTGTGTCCAGCTCCGGGGCCCACAACGTGAGAAGGACAAAAAACATATTGGAGTGGAGTCCGGTAGAGGCCACAAAGATGTTTCAAGGTCTGGAACATCTCTGCTCTGGAGACAGGCTGAGACAGCTGAGGGTGTTAAGCCTTGACAAGAAAAGGCTGTGGGGAGAAGCTGGATCCCCTTTCGCTACCTAGAAGTTCACCAAGAGATCTGGAGATTTTGGACAAGGGCATGGAGTGACAGGACAAGAGGGAATGATTTCACACTGACAAAGGGCAGGGTTATATGAGATGTTAGGGAAAAATTCTATACTGAGGGGGTGGTGAGGCCCTGTCACAGGGTGAGCAGAGAAGCTGTGGCTGTCCCATTCCTGGAAGTGTTCAAGGCCAGGTTGGATGGGGTTTGGAGCAACCTTTGTAGTGGAAGGTGTTACTGCACAGGGAAAGGGATGGAACAAGATGATCTTTGAAGTCCCATAAAACACAAAGCATTCTGTGATTCTGTGACATGTGGGAAAAGCTCATGAGCCTTTTCCATCCAGGATATGAGGTTTGTTAGGGGGGACAAGCACTGTGGAACAGAGAAACCTGTCCCCTCCCATAGAGCTGGGACAAGTTGGCCTCCAGTTGTGCCCGTGTGAGGTTCTGGACGTGGTTCCTGCTGTTTTCAGCAATGACCGCCCAAGTCTTCATGGTGGTGTTGGTCTGGCAGCAGGCAGCTGACCAGATGTGGCTGGGTACATTAACCCTCCTATTGGAGATGTAGGTGTTCCCAGGCACAGCACCTGTGATCACATAGGTTGTTGTACAGCCCTGGGTTCTCTGAGCCATCGTTTGGTTCTCGTAGTCTTTCCACTGGCCCTTGTTGAGTGTGCTGTTCTGGGGCACGATGTTGGTGAGGGTGAAGGTAGCCCACTTGCTGTTGTTGCCACTTTGGTGGCCACTGGGGCTCAAGTGACCACGGTCCAAACCCTGGAGGTTTTTGTAGTCTTGGGTGATAGGTTGACTCTGGCCAATTTGCTGTGGAGTGATCTTGTACCGATTACAGATGGATTTCTCTGTATCCATATCCGTGGAATAAGTTGGGTTGATTAGCTTGACAGGGTAAGAAGAGCAAAAGGTGTCAGTACTGAGGATGCATGTAATGAAACAGATTTCCTTGGAGCAGAAGTCTCTGATAGTCAAAATTCCATTTCTTGTCATCTCAGTGTATGAAAATGTATGAATCTGAGAGAAATCATACACATGTCCCTCCTGCATGGATTCAAGAGTGTTAAAGAGCAAGCAGCTCAGAATGTGACTGCTCTCAGTTTCACTTGTGACTTTTGTGGTCCAGCCTGCAGCCTGTGCTGGGAGCCAGGATGGATGCACGAGACAAGGAGCATTTCCCACTCCTAGGATTGAAATGTGACTTTGGTGGGACACCTCCCCTGTCAAATCTGCTTCCCTTTCCTCCTGCCTCCACAGCCCAAATCTGCCAAGGGCTCTCCCTGGATCCCCTCACACCACGCTGTGATTGTGTGATTCTATGATTCTGTGATTTTTTGATTCTGTGATTTTATGCGTTGTTGCTACAGATGTACCCCAGTCCTGGAACACCAGAGGTTCCCTCCTGTAACCCCATACAGAGGGAGATGTGTCAGGAAATCAGTCCTGGAGCTGAGGCTTCCCTGGGAGGACTGCAGTTTTTGCTCAGTAGGCAAAAAGATCTCAGTGTGAATGTAATCTGTTACAGCAGAGCTGAGAATGTGTCTCAGGGCTGATCTGGCCAGGGAGCATTTTCTGCAGCATCATTGATATGAAATTAGAAAAACATCAGATTCTGAGAGGGGCCTGTAATCCCAAAAAACTCATGTGAAAACAAAACACTCAAAAATATTCTTTGGAGAACATTATCAAAATCAAAGGTTTTTCAGGTATCCTGTGTCCAAGGTCTAGGAACACAAAGCCAGTGATGGGTTTGGTACATGCTGGTCTAATGGCAAGTGGCCTGTCCCATGCAGGGGGTTTGTATTGAGATGATATTTAAGGTTGCTTTCAACAAAAACACTCTATGATTATATGATTCTACAAAAAGACAAGTTTTTATCCCTCCCTATTGTGGAGGCTGCAGTGGTGCAAGACCAGATAAGCTGCTCATGATCATGTGAGTAAGAAGTGCAAATGGTTATATTTCATAATATCAGCAACTTGTTCATCTTTAGGGAAGCATATTTAGCCTTTCTCTGGAACTGGACAATATGATCTTGCACAGTTTCACCAAAAACACTCCTCCTACTATGCTCATAAAAAGGTCCTGAATTTGCTGTTCTTCTGTTCTGCAATTGGCCTGGCAAGTTCTACTGAAGTTTGTCTGAAAGACATTGGTGAGGGCTCTAGAGCTTGTGGAGTTCTGTCTGTCTGCTGGATCCTTGTGGACCAAGCCTGAGCCAAAGGTGCTCAGGGGTCTCTGCCCATGGATGGAGATCCCACCCTTCTGACTGGACCAACACTGATGCTCCTCACCTTGCACTGCCTGAAATGTCACTCCAGAAATCCCTCCACAGTTAACCTGACCCTCTCATCTCCAGTGCCTTTTCCCCTGTGGCTCTGTCCCTGGGCCACCTCACCCCATTCTGAGTTTTCTGACAATTTTCTCCCACCACTCACAAAGCCTGTTTGACCCTTCACTGGGAGCAGATAAGCTCTGCCAGGAATGCAGACCAGCTCAGGGCCAAGTGGGGATCAGATGCCAGCAGGACTGTTGGTCCCTCAAGTTTAGCCTCTCCTGGATGCCTTTTCCCCATCACTTGGTCACTCAGCACAGCAGGGCCCAGGGAGGGGAAGCATTTGACTTTGTCATGTCATGCAAAGGAATCTGATTTGCTGTTCCTGTCAGGTGAAGGCAGAAAGCTGGGCACCCTTGGGATGTGATTCATCTCATGCTCCTGTTGATGTCTCAGATGCATCAGAGGAACTGTGTGGTGCAGGGGTTTGAAGTTCAATTAGAAGAATCCTGTCCAGTGTGTCCACTCGAATGTGTGTAGGGAAGTGGGAGGAAATAGAGAAGTTGGGTTGAATGCTGCAGTTCATCTTATAATGACTGGAGGGTGATGTGCTGTAAGAGAGACACTCACCTGAGGCTCAACCAGCCATGTTTGAGGTCTTTTGCCTGGTCCAGGCCGGTAGATGTAAGCAGAGTACACTGGAATGTGCAAATCTCTGTCGTACAGGGTGGCATAGTGATACGAGTTGCTGTACCGCTGGCAGATCCAGGATGGGTTCTTTGGATTCAGGGCATCATTTGGGGGAATCCCTGCATAGAAGAACTGAGAACAACTTGCAAAGGACTTCACGACCTCGCTGTGTCCCAGCCAGAGGCAGCTGGCCAACACCTGCAGCAGCAGCAGCCCCAGCATGGTGGGAGGATTTCAGTGGAGGGCTCTTGCTCCCCTGGAAGGCAAATGCAGAGGGACACTCAGCTTGGAGAGCTGATAATGGCCTGTGCATGTGGGACAGAGCTGGCAGAGGAGCAGTCTATTCCCACTGCTCATTCATTGACAAATAAACTGGATTCACTGGATTCATTTTCCTCCACTTCCAAAACTCCAGGAATACAGTAATAACGTGTTGGTTGTTATAACCAGATATGGTTATGAAGTAATGAATCTCTCAAACAATGCCTGAGGTCTATGAGCTCATGGTTTTGCATTTCACTGGTTTTTTTTTATAAAAATCTCTGCTCCAGTGACTATTTACTGGATCCTCTCTGCCTTCCAAGTTAGTGGAGGCACTGCCTACATGTTGCTCTGAGCTGTGCACTATCTGGATGAGAGATGTTCCGTGAGCCCTGCTGCCCAGTGATCCAACTGTCCTGTGGTCTGTTCCATAAGAAAAATTTCCATTTCTTCTACTTGTAAAAAATTCTTTTGGATTCTCCAGTCTTCTTGCAGTTCTTAGATCAGAGATTCCTACATGAAGTACTTTTGGTAAGTTTTCCATATCACGGTGAAAAAAAAAAACCAACAAAAAATAAACATACAGGATTTACTGCACTTTTTTAGGAAATTGTTTTGAAGTCCAGATTTGGCTTCTCCCAATGGATGTTCTCCTGATTTTCCCCTCAGTTTTCTTTCTATCAGATGCTAAATGCAGCAGTCCAAACTCATGGTAAAAGCAGGGCAAGCTGGGAAGTAGCTGAGCGAATGCAGGGAAATGAAAACAGCTGTTATGGGTGCAGTAGTGGGAAAAGGAGGTTTTGAACCAGAGGGCAGTACTGTTTCTACTTTAATGACTGGACATGGCACTCAGTGCCATGGTCTGGGTAACAAGGTGGTGATTGATCAAAGGTGTGACTTAATGACCTTGGACATTTTTTTCAACCTAAATGATGCCGTGATTCTACTGAAAAAAATGAGATGTCATCAACGCCTCCTCCTGAGTTTTCAGTCCCTGTGGATAAAGGAAGTGAATAGCTGAAGAGATACTCAGTACAGGGAGGGCTGCAGGTCTTCAGGGCAAAGTAAATCACAGCAGCAGAAGGCAAATGCACATGAGAAAACAAAATGCAAGAAACAGGAATGTTGCTTGGACAGGTGAATTGAGGAGATTTGTCCTGTTCTGGACTGCTCTCCTTCAAGGGCAGCAAAGATCCCATGGCCACAGGCAAGATCTGTGAGTGAGGACAGAGAGGGAGTGTAGAAACCACGAGGCCAGCACACTCTTTACATCAGCCAGGATGGTGATACATGCATGTCTCACCTTACATGCCAGGTATGTTCATAGAATCACAGAAAGAATCATGGAATGGTTTGGATTGGCAGGGACCTTAGGGATCATCCATTTCCAAAGCCCCTGTTTTGACACCTTCCACTGGACCAGGTTGCTCAAAGTCCAATCCATCCTGGCCTTGAACACTTCCAGGGATGGGGCATTCACATGTCCACCTTTGCCAGGTGTACAAAGGAGAGTGAGCTTCAAGTGATGGGTAAAACACTGACCCAATCAGACCAAAGATTAGAGGTTCACAAAAAAGGCAACAGCTGCTTCTTCTGTTCTTCCCCTGCGTCCCAGAAGTGACCCTAAAGCACCTCTGCTGTGCAGCTTCTCCCTCAAGGAACATTTTCTGTGTGAAAAATAGACCCCTTGTCCAGAGCAATATGAAAAGTATCAATTTTATGGAGAAAAGTGCAAGGAAAAGGTAAGGATATAAAAGATTGATTATGTTACTGTATCCCCTCCCTACCCAGGGACAGCAGAGCTACATTATCCATTTTAAACAATTTTTTTTTTCCTCAAGCCTTTCTATGCAACACTCCAAATGCTGGCTCATGGCTACCCTTGAATTTTGGAGATAAATTTATTCAATGCATTTTTTTTCCCCTCACAAGGATCAACAGCTTTTTTAATACTGTACAGTTCAGCTGAAAAAGTTGGTGTGGGATTTGGATATCTTTGGTTACATTAACTCCACCAGACCAGCTGCCACTGTCCCTGTGCATGCAGAGCAGGTGACACTGAGGTGACAGAGGGGTCACCTCCTTGCCACCAATCAAGCACCACCCTGCTACTAACACTCACAGCTGAGAGCTCCCTGTGGTTACACTCACTCTTTCAGTTTCTTTTGGCTTTGGAGACCAAAAATCATTATATTATTTTCACTTTCAGGTCCTCACGTGGCAAAACCTCTGAACTGCATAAAACAGGGGTAATGAGCAACCACCATGGGAAGCTGCAAGCCAGGTTTTCAGCCAGATAAGGGAGAAGGATGATAAGAAGCAGATCCTGTGGAAGTAGGATGGTGTTTTCATCATGGCAATTGTCCTCCCTTACACAACTGGCTCAGCTGTAGAACTCCCACCCCTCACCCCTGGAGAAGGTCACATTCACACCTGAGGGTTTTCATCCCAAAACAGCCTCGACTTCCCTGATGTGAGAGGCAGCTGAGAAGAGGTGATAAACCATCAAAGACCACCTGAAGTGTCCCCAGACTCATTCCTGAGGCCTTCCACACAAGAACTGAAAGCTCCCCCCCTGCCAGGTGAGGTAGCTGGGCATTCCCACACAGCCTGAGTATATTTTAACTCACTGGACTTTTTGTTTGGGAGCTTTTCCCCCAACATCCCCTGATGGATCAAGACTGTGACCATCACTTCAGCCAACACACGTTAAAATACCAACAATAAAATCTTGTCCTTGGATCCATGGGAGGTGTGAGGTCTTTCTACTCTTATCCTTTCTTTCTTTTTTTATGTTATATATTTCCTTAAGTGACATTTTAATGGATATATATATATATATATATATATATATATATATAAATATGGAGAGATATATATACAGATATATATAAAATATGGATATATAGTATGGATATTAATAAAGATAATACTGACCAAAATTACTACATACGTCCTTTCCATTGCAACCAAATTGTTCTAAAATAAACCCTTCTACATACATTATTCTTAAAACCACTGGTCATTCAGTGTTGTTTCATTCTAATCCCCCCCCAAGGGATCTATTAACGAGAACCTGGGTTACCCTTCCCTTCTGGTCTCTCACACTCTGCAGTTATTCCTCAGGTAAAATGGAAGTCCCAGCATATTAATGCAACTCTGGAGCCTGAATTCTGAATTTGTGGAATTTTATTTCCACCATGCAGTTGTAATAACACACTTCCTCCTAAGCTATAGCAGCAGTCATAACTGCACTTCAATTTCAATCACATTTTGGTATGTATAGAAATTAATCCATGCTGTGGTGTCATACAGATACATTCTTAGGAGGAAGAAATACCTTTTCTTATTAATACAACCTGCTTATAAAGCCTCCTTTGATTTTTCTTCCTGGAAGATGTTTGTGTATTAGGATTTCACCATGTGCGTGGACTCCCAAATGCTGTTGAGATTTGGCTGCTTTGAAGCTGCTCTCAGATATGCTACCAAGGTGGTCTGAGGCATGGAGCACACACCTTCAGAAAGGGATTCACACCTTGTGAAAGGCATTCACACGTGCTGAGTCTGGCCAAAGGGAGGCTGAAGGGCAGCCCAACAGTCGCCTACAGCTACTCAAAAGGTCAAGAACACCAAAGCTGAGCTCTCTGTGGCAGTGTCAGGCCCTGTAACAAAGGGCAGCACCCACAGACTGGTTTGGGAGGTTGCACAGCAGGATAAAAATTGCCTCTAGGCACCTACTACAGCACTGGAACAGGTTGTTGGGAAATGACAAATGATGAATTACACAGGTGACTCAAGACTCAGCTGCATGAAAACACAGCTGAATTAGAGTCCTGCAGCTGATGTTGCCAAACAGCATTTCTTTGATCCTGTGGTAGATATATCTCCCATCTTCTCCCATTCCACCCCACCCTGGCCTGCCACACTCAGATATTGCCTGGAAAATTATGTCAACACAGGCCAAATCCTCTGGTCCTGAGAGTTGTACTTTTAAGTCTTTCTATAGCCCAAAGTCATAAAAAACACACCACATACCTCAGAGAGCCAGGAGGAGGACACACTTCCAGAATCCTGGTTCAGGTTTCTCCTGGGGAAAAGACATCAACTAGATGAGACCCCAGCCACTCATCTCTTTCCCTAAGGAGAGACTGATCTTTTCCAACAGTGTCTGCACCAATTTGGTTCCTCTGCTAGCCATCCCCACACTTAAATAAAGACGGGCTTTGCTACAGCACATTAGTTGTGCCGAGGGTAATTAGCAGTTACGTCAACATGATTTCCAGTTTGACTGCTGGCTGACTCCACGTGGAAATGAGGTTGTTGATTGCAAGAGGAAATATGTCAGAGGGCTTCAGAAGATCCATGTTGCTCATGAGGAAGAGCAGCCCTTGTGCTCAGTGCCTTTGGTCATCTCTGCTGGGCTTGGCATTCCCTGGATGTGGCAGGGAAGGGAGGGCCAGCTGTGTGCAGTGGGCAATGCTGATCCTCCCTTCACCTCTGAAGGTGTCACTCAGAGCTCACTGCCTCCAGCCAGAAAAGATGTGATAATGTTTTTTGTAGGAGGTGGCAGACTCAAATCCTGGCCTAATTAAGAACATATCCTCATTATAATGAGAATTTCACAAGAAACTGACCCTTGAGGACAGACTAACACAAACAAACAGCTGTAGGAACTTGCTCCTGGCTCACCCCATCTAAATTACTTGTAGTCCCAGGAGCTCTGGTTTTGGCTAAGCAGGATTCACCCTGTTTAAGGGCTGGTTCTCAGCACTCCCTGTAGAGTCAATGCAAGAGGAATATCCACATTTCCAGGGCACAGCTCGCATCTGGAAGATGAAGGGAATTACACTCTAAAGGTGTTTCTTCCTCTCTGATGACCAGGAGGATTCACAGAGGGCCAAGCTCTGATTTACACCTCCAACATTACATGAGCTGAGTCCCACTTTATGTTGCCATCTCTAAATCCATGATGTCTGTATCACATTACTTAGCCAAAGCATAACAGAAAAATACAAAAGCCATCCATTTCCAAAGCCCTTTCCTTCTGGACAGACCTTCAAAGCAAATAGCTTTTCCTCATTCATTTTCATGGGCTTGCTGTGTCAGTCCAGCAGGAATTTCAGGGGAGTTTTGTAACCTGTCTGGAAGGATGTTTTCTTGAGAGCACAACAAATAATCAGCTTTGCAAGGAACAGGAGGGAAGGATGCACTTCGTGCAATTCAGTCTGAGTATTCTGAGACCAAGATGTTTTATGTGATTGAAGAACACAACAGAGGGTAAGGAACAGAGATTATTTTTCTTACTTCCTTGCAGGGTTAGCTGTGTGTTTTAAGCCTTACTCAAGCCCTAAAGAGCAGACAGTGCAACAAGATAAGATCACCTGGTCTGAAAATGAGCTCATGCTAAACTGGCCACAGACTAGATGCAAATTTGGGTTCTTGAGAAGTGAAGTCAAAAGTTTTTTGTGCAGGTGAGTTGCTCTGAGTCAGACCTCCTGCTGGACTAAGAGCCAGCTCACGGATGCAATGAAGCAAGTCAAAAGTCCTTCTCTGGGCCTTAGGGCTTCTCTGGGCTCCCCTTGTGATCCAGCCTTAGTCTGCTACTCTCCTCTTCCATCTCAAACAGGTGACCTCAGAGGGGACCTGTGATGCTTCCTTTGTGACTTAGTTTTCTGCTGCAGATACCATTTCATGGGACATGATCATTGCCAATGGGATGTGTGAGAAAATCCTGAATCTGGATGCTATGGATGCCCAATTTTATGCTCCTTTTCACAGAGAAAGATCCAGAGAACAAAATTATGGTAAAAATATACTTCTGTCCATAACAAGCATCTGTGGAAATTTTAGATGGATATTTCCAGTACTAGGTCAACAAGATGTGATGAGTCACAAAATGTGGTAAGCAAACTCAGAATTTCCTTTGTTTGGTGGGATTCTGCACTGATGTGTTTCTGAAAGTGTTGTACATGGGCAGCACCTCATTTCCCAGGCAGGAGAGAGAGGAATGGGAACATGGAGGGTGGATGGGTTTGCAGGGGTGACTTGGAACAGGATGAGAAAATCAGCCATAAGAATAGGCAAATGCTTCAGTGATGAGCCAAGATTTTCTTCAAACTAAACCAGACAGGAATCTATCAAGGAAAAGCAGAAACCTGCATGTAGCCAGCTCAGATCTCACCTCAGCCAGCTCTTGGACAATGAAGGCACTTCCCTAGAACACAACCTTCCCACCAGGGGCTGACTGCCAGGACTCAGCTCTCAGTGAGGGATATTTTCTGGGGCAGAGAAGGCAGCTGATGAGGTTAGGGAAGTGCTGGGCAGCAGTACCCACAGCCCAGCTATGGGTCTAAGGAGAGGTTGTTTCATTCTTCAGAAACAAAAGCAAAAGCATCTGCTGTCACAAGCAAGGAAACCAGACCAGCAAAACTGGTTTACAGGAGATGAATTTGAAATCCAGACTGGCTGATAAGAGGCAGATCCCATACCAATGAAATTTTGGAGGGATTTTGAGGTGTTTGTGCCAGTTTAACCTCTGGGGTTAGACCACACCTGGTTGCCCTCACTGGAACTCTTGGTTGCCTTGGTAGAAAAAGTCAGATTCACCAGTTCTGCTACAGGCTGTTGTGCCTGGACAAAGCAAGAGCAAATGTTACCATCATCATTTGGGTGTGGGGAACCCTAAACCAGAAACCCATCAACCTCAAGGTGGAGGTGCTGAATGCAAAGAGATGGATTTGATCCAACTGTCCCGTGGGAACCCTTGGAGACACCATTGGCTCAGCATGGAGCCAGTCTGGAGCAGTCTGATCCAGCACTGATGGTAGATCTGCTGCAAGGATCAAAGTGATCTTAGAGGCCTTTTCCAGCCTGAGTCTATGATCCTAAAAAAATACCTTTCGGCTTACACAGGTTTGTGCAGAGGTTTCACCTCTGAGAATGGTGGGGATAAGGAGCCAGTGTGAGTCAAGTCCAGCCTCAAATGTCAAAAGGTAAATCTTTATGTGACCATGGGTATTATGAAAAAATCAAATGTGCAGAGTTATTTAAAATAATACCAAAATGCAGGTCAACGTGGGCAAAGCTGGAGCAATAAGAAGACTGAAAATACCAGGTTTAGCACTCAGTTTCTATGTGCTGGTTCTTGTTTTTCAGACAGCTGCAGATCAAAATCACAGAAATCAGCACAAAATGCAATGGTTGATGCTTTTATGTTTTTTTAAACAACTGTTTCTTATATACAGAGCTGTTATCATCAGCCCCAACAGGGCATGCTGGGAGTCTGTACTACAGGAAACACAGTGCTGAGAACATGACCCTTTCTTTGCATACCTCTCTCACACTTGTTCCTGAGTATTACAATCATGGAAACACAGAAGGGTTTGGATTGAAAGGGAACTTCAAGATCATCTCATTCCAATCCCCTGCCATGGGCAGGGACAGTTCTAACAAGACAAGGTTTCTCCAAGCCCCATTCAGCCTGGCCTTGGACACTTCCAGGGATCCAGAGGCAGCCACAGCTTCTCTGGATAACCTGTGCCAGGGCCTCACCACCCTCACAGGGAAAAAATTTCTTCCCAATATCCCACTTAAGCCTGCCGTCTGGCAGTGGGAAGCCATTCCCCCTTGTCTTGTGCCTCCAACATCCCTTTCCAGCTCTCTTGGAGCCCCTTGAGGCACTGGAAGGAACTCTAAGGTCTTCCTGGAGCCTTCTTTTCTCCAGACTGAACGCTCCCAACTCTCTCAGACTCTCTCCAGAGCAGAGGAGCTCCAGCCCTCCATCCATTCCCTGTGGGTGCATTATTTGGAAGGCACCATGAGGTTAGTGGCATAAACTTGCCATTGCAGTCCATGCAATTATTTAATATCAACCTTTCAAAACATCGTTTTTCTGCAGGATTAAAACAGGGAACGCCCCTCTTTATTGTAACCTAGGGCAACTGCTCAGCCAGATTATTCCATTACGAAGCTCTGCTCTCCTAAAGATCACAGGTGCCCTGCAGCTACTTGGGCACTTGGGCATTATCTGTTAGTGCTTTTACTGTGAAGTCTTCTACTAATTTGAGATTCTTTCTCTGTGTGTTATATTGTATATTGAAACTTTGGTTTTTACTCTTGGAAATCACTCAAACGTTCAGAAAAAGGAGGAACAGACTTAAAGGTATTACTTACTCTCAAACTACTCCCTCATTCTCTAAATTATTTTCATTTAGAACCTATTCAGGCCACTCATCTTTAAAAGGCTGCATGTTTTTTATCCTCAGTCATCCAAACAAAGTAATCTGCAGAAACAACCCGTCCCAAAGATAAGCAAATAATATTTACTAAGATCAGGTAAAAACTCACAGCTTTTATTGGTTTGTCTGCCAGAGACTGACTTTGCTGTAGAATACAAATTTTGGTGTGTTACAAACACTGCAATTAATATTTTTCAATTTCAATTTTGCAATTAGTTATATTAAAGTTAGATGATTTTACTGATAAGCTTTGAGAAAAAATAATGTGCCAGTATGGAGAATTTCTTTGTCCACCTTCTGCCTGGTGATGTACAAGGGCAAAACACACAAGGTATAAAAACTCCAGACATTTTGTTGCCTGACTGTTCTTTGAAGAAGCCTCATCATGAAAGTCCCGTCTTCCCCACCCCAAAGCTGACAGGCTTTCAGGAACTGACACCAGCAATAAAACAGAAGGCCATCAAGTTTTACTTTCAAAAACCCCCAGTTATTTTAAGCACATATATTTCACTCCATCCTACCTAGAACACTGCAAAGATGTTGCATGGAGAAGGAAGAGAGCCAGGCCGCCACGTCACGTTCTGCACTGTGCTGCGATGGGGAAGAGGCTGGGGAAGAGGCTTTCCTGGAACCAGGGATGCTTTTTGGCCATTTTTTTTTTAAGGAGAAGCAGAAGAGTGTCAACAGCCCTGGCACAGGAAGGAGGTTGCCTGTGCTAGACCGTGCTCAGCGATCGCACGCAGGAAGTGGCGCAACTCTTCCCCATACTCAGCAGCTGCTGAGACCACAGCACCCTGGTTTTGTTTGGGGATTGACACAAGCCCCATGAGGCAGCTGTATGGGATCCTTG